CCAGGGTGTAGGAAAGACCCAGGCCATCTAGTACATGGTGTGAAGGAGGCTAGGCAGTTCTGAATAGGATTAACCCTGAGCAGTGTAGTTGCAAGCCACTTCTCACTCTTTTCTAGAAGCTAGATATTGTTCCCTGAGACAGATGCGTTTGGCAGTCTGAAGGCACTGGAGATACAATCCTTGAACCCTCAATGAGCAGGTTTTAAATCAATCTCTAAGTCTCTCCATGCTGTATATTCTGTTCATATTTGGGAACTAAATGTGTTTCAGTTTCAGAAACAAGAAGCCTTTCACTTCCCCAAAGAGGTTCCTGCATCTTCTTTTGTGGGAAATTGGGAACCAAACGCCAAGCTTTTTGCAAATTAAGATATATGGAAGCAGTAAGGGCGGTGCTGAATATCTTGAGTTTTGCCCTTCATTTCAAAATGCTAAGGATTTAGAACCTTATTTATATTATTGCAACATGACATCATCTAAACAGATCAAACGGATGAATGAGAGCATCGTGCTTTAAGGAACAAATACTTGACAGGTCGAGTTGTATTTTATAAGGAGAATCTGGTAAGAATTGTTAATGTGAGCTCAGACAAATTATGGAAAATTGAACCTGATATGATGGTCATTCCAGCATTCCTGTGTTAGACAATTCCTTCCCCATGTCTGTTTAACGCAAGCCAGCCTACCACTCTCTAATAAATAGACATGTTCTTCTTTTCTGTCTCTTTAGGTGATGTTTACAGAAGAGGATGTCAAGTTCTACTTAGCTGAGCTGGCCTTGGCTTTAGACCACCTCCATGGTCTTGGAATTATTTACAGGGATCTAAAACCAGAAAAGTAAGTTAATGAGAAAGAGTGAACTGTAACATAAATATGTGAGCTTTTAGGTTGTTTCTGCTCCTTGTCATACTAATAAGTCAAAAGGTGCCGGAGACTCTACCTTTCTTCCTGTATCTGAGACTCTGTACATGAGAGCCTCAATGTCAGGAGTAGATTTTGTCCCCTGTGCCTAAGTTAATAAGGTAGGGAAGTACTGTATTCTTTCACTAGTGAAGCATGGGAATGTTGAAGCAACAAGCACATGTTGAGGCAGTGGCTGAGGCAGTAGTATTGTGATAAATAAAAACGGAGGCAAGCACTGGTATTCAAAGTGAGCAGGTAAGAACTGGGAAACCCTATGCTATCCAAATCAGAAGTAGTGCAGTCTGTTTACCTGTGTTTATTTTCAGTTGTACCACTAGGCTGAGGTATGAAATGAGCTCCAATCTCTGCAGTCCCAGTCTCCAGGGTCTTCCTATTGCATCATTTAAGCATGGAGCCAGATACCTTAACTCTAGTCCACACAGAATCACAGAACGGTTGAGGTTGGAAGGGACGTCTGGAGATCATCGAGTCCAACCCCCCTGCTCAAGCACGGTCCTCTAGAACACATTGCACAGGATCGCGTCCAGGCGGGTTTTGAATATCTCCAGGGAAGGAGACTCCACTACCTCTCTGGGCAACCTGTGCCAGTGCCCTGTCACCCTCCCAGGAAAGAAGTTTTTCCTCGGGTTCAGATGGAACTGCCTGTGGTTCAGTTTGTGCCCGTTGCCTCTTGTCCTGTCGCTGGGCACCACGGAGAAGAGGCTGGCCCCATCCTCTTGACACCCTCCCTTCAGATACTTGTACGCATTGATCAGATCCCCTCTCAGTCTTCTCTTCTCCAGGCTGAACAGGC